TTAAATCTTTTTTATATGTCGAAACATAAACTTAAGTTTTAAAGCTTTTTTTATTCAATTTTTTTTTCATGTTTTTCAATTTTTTCAATTTTAGTTTTTTTAATTGTTTATATTTTTCATTTTTTAAATTATTTTCAATTTTTTCAATTTATTTCAATTTGTTAAGTTTTCTTTAATTTTTAAATTTTTTTCAATTTTTTAAATATTTTTTAAATTTTTTCATTTTTTCAATTTTTTTTTTGTTATTTCCTGATTTTTTTCATTTTTTTTTTAAACTTTAACAACTTTTTTTCTTAAAAACTCAGTCCGTTTAATAGCAAAAAAATCGTCTCTATTTCAAGACTTGAAGTATTTAACGAGCAAACGCAAATAATTATAAAAATCATCAAGAAACTTTAAACCCATCAAAATCACAGAAGCATAACAAAAGAGTTCAAATATCTTCAAGTATTTATTTTTCCTTTCTTTTGCTGACTTTTTTTTGTTGCATTTTTCATTTCCTAGCTTTGAAGAGAGCATTTTTTTTTTATTTGATTATTTGCAATGAGCAGTTCTGCTTTCCATCTCTTTAGTCTTTACACAAGACGAAAGATTAAAGAATTTAAATCTTTGTAAGTCAGCAATTGCTGCAAGCATTTAGAATTTACTTTGAAGTTCACGAATTCATATTCAAAATAACACAAAGAAGAAGTCGTTCCTAATTGCATTAATTTCAGATTTTCTCGACCATCCCCACACAAGAAACAATTTCAATGCCAAAAATAAGAGAGAAAAAAATAGCAAAAAAGGGCAACAGAGTACATAAATAAATCATTCATCAAAATGCCGAAGAAGCAAAAAAAGTACGGAAAAAAAATCATCATACATTAATTATTTGTTTATTTAAGGAACAGTTAGAGCGCAATAAATTCAATATTTTTCTTCTCACTGTTCATGTAGATTGAGTACTGAAGTTCATCATTCACAGTTTATTGAGATTTTCTAGCTTGTAAATTTCATGTCAATTGACGTATTTATTATTATTGACACATCATGCTGATTTATTTGGTTTTTGATGAGATAAATTAATTTGTTTAATTTGCATATGTCTTTGATGATGCTGTATGAAGAGATTTAATGAGTGTTTTTGTGAGAGTGAGGAGCTTGGTGGGTTTAATAGTCTCGAATTTAGTCATAAAGATTTTGGATTATGACATGGTTTAGATCTGGTGGCAAAATGAGTCGATTACTTAAGATACTAGATGCATAGGTCTGTTTTCTATTAGCTATAAGCTAAGGACTGTTGATAAATGATGTCTCACAATTTTATATAATGACGGACGTCGTTTTTGAACAGCCTATAGGCTGCAGTAAAAACTACAGTAACCCTAAAATATAAAAAAGCCACGCTCAATATGTATGCATCTCAGATAAATTAAAAAATCCCAGCACCTTCCTTGAATCACAGATCGAATCCTACTTAATATCCTTAAGCAATCCATCAAATGGAAACCCATTTAAATTGGGGTTCAGTGCTGGAGGTCTTTTAATCCCGTGTGTATTCGCGTTAGTAAAAGCTAAGCAATTCATCTGTTTTTCCACAATGCTTGTAGCTGAAGGCACTGCGATCTCGATCGACGTTTATTATCAACTCTAATCCTAGCCACATTATTGAATTTGAGTGTGCACATACATACATACATCGCTGGCTTTACAGATCGATTGTGATCCATAGCCTAGTAAGTGTACCTACGCTTAATTGAGTAGTTGGCTTAAGATGTGAACTAAGACTACCAAAAGAGTATTTACTAAGTTAAATGCTATCTAACTCGAGCCATACTCATTTAATTTAATAGTGTTACCCTAAAATAGCCGTCCTCAGAAGAAGAATTCAAAAAAAAAATAATAAAGCAACAAAAAAAAATCCAGTAAAGCTACTAAACCTCACAAGTCCTCAAATAACTGCTGCAAATAGCCTCACACAAATTCGACACTTGACACCAACAAATAGTGATAACGGAAACGTTTATCACTGCACTTCAATACTTTTACAAAGTTAATGTTGTGTGTCATCATCACAGTACTACACATTGTAGCCATTGAAGCTTGATAGAAGAATAAATTATGGAATATAATCTATGTCATAACCATAAGTCCATGAATCATTGATAATAATTGCTTTTCCGTATGCCATTCTATTTTGGAAAGTACCAATACATTTTGTGATTGTAGGATATAATTTCAAATTATTATTTTTCTGGTCTGTAGAAGTATCACATAATACAGTAGCGCTCAAAATGATAAGGACAGCAACATTTTTTTCACATTTTTATTAATTTTGACTCACAGGATTATCTAAATTTGCTGAAATTTGGACCAGTTATACAGTTTTAAATGTCCTTTCATACAATATATACTAATTGTACTTTAATTAAATATTTTTGAAAAAAACGGTAAAAAATCAAAATGGCTGCCGCTCAAAATGATAAGGACAGTAGATTATGTTAAGATTTTATTATATTAAGTAATATTATGGAACTTTTAAGACTTAAAACATTATGTTTGATGAATATTCTTTAAATAAATTTATAATTCACGCTTCTAGATGTAAGACTTCTTATTTAATTTTAGTGTTTAAAAATATGTGAAAATTTTGTCAATTTATGATAAATTGTCGTACAGAAACTTCTTTATTCTTTAGGTTAACTACCAAAAATTATAGATAATTTGATTATTTATCAATTTATAATCAAACATTTAAATAACTGTTAATTAATGTAAATTTTTTTCAAAAATTTTATTTTTCCTTTGCGAAATTTTTGTGAACTTAAGTCGACAATTTGAAAAAAAATTGTTAAATATTCGCAAAACAATGCTTAAATTAGTATATTTCTCTTCCATTTTAATTGTTTAATAACATATATCAAGCACTTGAACCGCTTCGAAAGGATAAGTGACTAAGCAAAAAAAATGTTGCTGTCCTTATCATTTTGAGCGCTACTGTAAATGTTGCCATTAGAGCTTTTGATATCTTCTCATAAATTTCAATAAACTGATTCACAATTTTTGCTTGAATGACTTTAGTTCATGATCTATGAAATGTACATATTGAGGTATCTTCATTCATTATTTAATATTTGCTTGATAAGTTTTTGTTGAATTTCTTAGAATTATTTTTTTTCGGGACTAGAAAAATCAAATGAAATTGAGCATGAATTTTGGTATGATGATACTTTTGGAATTTGGTATAAACCAGTGGTGCCGAACCTTTTTTGTGTTCCAGAACACTTAGTGGTAAAACATGATCACAACCGCAAACAGAATACGGTTTGACACTAGTGTGTCGCGGCACATGGGTTGTCCATCACTGCTATTTACTATTAAATTATCTACATGCTCAAAACATAATTGATTTTTCCACGAACTCCCATGTTATCTTACCTCCCAACTGCTTTCATGCATCTATCGATCCTCAACACAAGTAGCTTCATTGCCTCATCTTTTGTTCCATGAATTCCTTATTTCAATTCATTAAAACTTCAAGTGGAACTCTTGAAGTAGAAATTAATTCTCATTCATCTAAGCAATATCCATTCAATAACAAAAAAAAAATCCATGCACACAGCAAGCAATAAATTTTCCTATTCCTGGCAGAAACGCACAGATTCAATATCAAAAGCGAGTAACTTATGGAATAAGAAGCAGACGAGGAGGGTGTGAGCTTAAGTGATAAGGAGAGAAAATAAGAAGCATAAAAAATGTTGAACGTGAAAGATTTTCTATTGAATTTCCTTCTTTTGTTTTGTTGGTGCTGCTGCTGTTGCTCGATTTCTTGTTCTTTTAAATTTTTAAAGAGTTTAGAAAAAGTGTTGTTGGAACTAGAATTGTGTCTCGTTTTGTATGGCTTTAAGGTTTATTTCTTGAAGGCACAAGGCGTAAAAATGGCAAAAAATGTGGGTTCAGGACGGCATGAACCAGTGTGGTCCCTCGTTCATGCAGCCTACGGGCCACATTTTTGCCATTTTTACGCCGTTTGTTTACCGAGATTGTCAGTTCTTAGAAATAATATTGTAATTAAAAATGAAATTGAGAGTTAAATGTTCTTGAACGTCCTATCATATCATATGCTGTGTCTAAGTTTACAGCATCATTTGTTGTCTGAGTGAAATATACAAGATTTGTATGTAATTGAATATTTAGTTGTTGCTCCGTTTATTAATTAACAATTCTACAGTAAACGGGCTGACGTAATTCAAGCTCATGTCGAAAAGCGAAATAAAGCTTCTTCCTGGAATTTATAGATTGCAAGGGTTTCAATTTTTTATGGCTCATTTCATTCACGGGTGCACAGTGGATCAAAATGATCAAATCCTAATTCAGACCCACATCTACTGGATAAACCCCCCTCTATCCTAAAAAAACCCCCTCAAAAATTTAAAACTACACTTCCAGGTCGTAAGATATCAAGATAAAGTTGAGAATTATATAAAACAAGTGAGAATCGCACGAACATGAATGCCATGAATTTACAATTAATTAAGCAGCGACTAGTGCATTCTTAAAGAGCACAACGAGAGTTGTGTACGATTTATGTCTAGTGAATAATGTAAGATAAATTTAATGAATTGATTTTTCATTCCTTTTATTTCTCACATACAAACCTTACATCCTTAATGTAATGAATCTAAAGTTGTTTTGTTCATTTCATGTTATGCATTATCAGATTTTAGTCGAGACACGAACCATCGAAAAGGGGATATTTTTAGAAAATTGTGAATTTTCCCACAGCACATGCGCACATCAAATCTCGTGCTAGTCAAAGCAAAAAATGCTTTTTGGAAGATGCACATGTGGAAGTGCTTAATGCATTCCTTCACTTTCCAGTGCCGTCTGTACGAATCTTATCCTTTGGTTGATGACTTCACTCAATTTCCACTCAGCATTCGGTGTGGCTGGTCTTAAATTCGTTTCGGATTCGTATCGTGTTGAAAAAAGTGAATGTGAAAGTTAGAAGAGAAAATAAAAAAAATTGAGGAATTTCCTTAAATTCCTTCTTTATTTACTAAAATAAAAAAATTGTCTGTGCTTCCTACACAGCCAAAAGTGTAAATTAATGGAACCAATTAATTAAATGGAATTAAATTAATGTGGAATTGTGAGAAAAAAAAAATTTGACAATTTAAATAATAAATTGATAGGAATTAAATCGGAATTGAATGAAAAAATAATAAAAATAAAAATGGAAAAAATCCACAATAAGCTGCCTACAACTGTGTTGAAGGAACAAAAATAAATATAAAAAAAAATTCCACAAATATTTTCCTTTCTCTCCTCAAGCTTAATAAAATAAATAAATAAATAAATATTAATTCACATCACATTACATTGAACAATAAGGATACTCATCATCATCATTATCATCATCATCATCGTCGGTTGTTGTCGTTCAATGAGAATTAAAGTTTACGCGAGAAATGTTTTTTTATTTAAAATGAAAATGAAATGTGCGAATGAATGAAAAATGAGATAAAAGTAAAAAAGAAAAAAGGAAATTTCGGTGCGCTGATGAGAACTTTACTTTAATCTTGTTAACCTACATAAAAAATTATAAAAAAATATTCAGCGTGGACGGATATTTTTATCCTTAAAACTTTTTTACATCTCGAGTGGTTTTTTCGGGTGATGTTGAAAAAATAAAATTTATTTTGACAAGAAAGTGATGGAAAATACGTGAAATTGTTATGAAAAATTAATAACTTGTGGAAGTGAAGTTTTTGTGGACTTTTGGATAATTTTGGAAACCGGCAGTCGATCTTAGAGGATTTTGAAAGTAATTTATAAAAAATATATTTATAAATATGGAAAAATGAGTTGAAATCACAATGTAAGCACCAAAGATGATTTTTGAGGTTTTCGATTATGTTTTGTAATTGTTGAATTTTGCAAGAATTTTAAATCTGGCAATTGTATTTAAAAAGTGATTGTAAAGCTTGATTTTAACATTAAGGAACTCTTAGTGTTAATGTCTTGAGCATTGTTCGAATCCTTGTCGTATCAACAACTTTCAATGCAATAGTTTGAAAGATCATTGTCAGATGGCAATCGAACCCACGCCTTACAAAAATAAGTTATAGATATCCGATTTGTTGTCTTGCCAATTGACCACAGAGACCTATTTCTCGCACTGGCAGATTCGCCTAGATATGGCTCGATACCTCAGATTCCACAATAATGATGTTTTTAAAAATTTTCAAAAAAATTCGACTTTCATTATTTGCATCAAACAGAATTCTAGTCGACTCTCAAAAAACAATATTAAACAATCCAAAAGTAATACACATCAGATAGATTTATTTAAAAAAGAAAAACATTGCTAAGCAACGCAGCTTTTAACAGAATAAAATTCTTTGAAATTGTTTAATTGAATGCTTTATCAAGATAAATATCAAATTAACAAAAAAGTAAATAAATGTTTTGATTAAGAATTATGTGAAGTGTTCCTGGTATTAGACATCTCCTATCTTTTTTTGGGAATTTGATTCTTATTTTATAAATATAATTAAGTAAGAACATTTTAATAATATTAATGAATTAAGTGCGAAGACAGAGAAGGGGGGTCTGTCAGTTTTGAAGTTTACCTCAAAATTTTTGCTTCACACGGCCATAAAACTAACTTAAAACTATTTATGATATCCAAAATTTAGGGGGAAAGATAGGATGTAGAATTTTGTGACAGCTCAAATAAAGAAAATGTTTTTCTACAGAAATTTTTTGGTTAAAGGGGGGGGGGGGGAATATAAATCATGTTTTTTGATGGACGTCTTAAGTGAACGGCCCCTTAAAATATCATAACAATGTTAAATTTCTGACGACACCCCTGATTACTCTTAAGTTCTTCAATAATGAGTTCAGATTGGAATTGTTTGTGATAAATGTTCAGATAAATTGATGCGATTTAAACAGTGTCCATTCATTAATGACGTACAAACGTAAAGAACCTTATTCAAAGAAGAATTTTAAAACATCTTATTGCTGTATTTGAAGCCAGTCAGTGTTTAAGAACAGTTAAAATTTGATCTTAAACATTATAACCAGGAGTAGAGATGGTTGTCTTCTAAAAGGCCTCTTAGAAGCTACATTGATGTCTTTAATCTATAGCTAAAGTGATTAGACATTTTCGTAAAATTAGAGGACCTGAAAGTAATTTAGAGGATGTGTCTAGCAACTTCTATAGCTTCGTTTATTTATTTTTTTACCTTATCCATCAAATCACGAGAGCTTGAGTCAATACTTCTAAGATACACGATTACAAAAATTTTTACTATAAATCTAAATTAAAGATTAAATTAGGAACAATAAAGCACATAAAAAAATCATCTTTAACATTTTTGAACTAAAACCTACAAAAATGATCATTTAGTAAAGAAAATTTCAAAACAAAATAAAGATAAACTTATAACTAAGCTATAAACAGCTTTCAAAGTGTTTATCAAATAGCAATTAAACCAAAAATACCTTCAGACAGCTATGAATGAATTCTTTAAATAGAAATTAATCAAATAATTCAGCATAAACATTTCTTAATTAAATTCTTTTACTGAAAATTCATTCATCTCCACAAGATCCATTAAGTCAACAAGATTCATAAAACTCGAATGTAAATTTGACTTTTTAGTATCAATTTCAAAATTTTCAGCTTCATAATTTTCATAATTGCACAGCCCCATTCCGTTTTAATGCCAAATTATTAGTCTTTGTCTCATTTCCATTTCTCCATAAATGCGAAGACATAAAGAAGAAAAAATCTTCCCAGCATGAAAAAGCCCGTCCATAACTTTCTTAATTAAGTTAAATAACATTAAAATTATTCAAAAAAAAAATTGATAATGAATCGCCAGGCTTTTTAATGGAACTGAAAAACATGAAAGAAATTCCGCCTTTGAATTTCATTTCTATTGGAATGGGAGAGGTTCTTTTATATCTTCGACAGAAGTAATTAAAACAGGAACGTTTTATGTTCTTTCTCGTTTGAGAAGGTGTGAGAAATAATTAAATCGAGATGCTTTTTAGCTTCTTTTTCTTCCTTTTGAATTGAGATGGAGCATCTCATAAGAGATTAAGTGATGGACATAATTGAATGGTTGTGGGCTGGATCTTTGTTTATTTCTTACGTGATGTTTTGTGATTATTGAGATGAGTTTTAGTTTTATTGAATTTTTAAAGCTGTTTCTGTGACTGTCTCAAATTTTGATGCTTGTAAATTTGAGATTTGTATGATGACCAGAATAGCAAAAGTCGTTTAATCGAATAGAAATCCGGCCCCAAGCTGGTATGACTTTGACATGGTGCTGGCTTCGATTTAAATAAAGATATTATCGATTAACCGACTTGTGCCATTCGGGTGAGTCATAATTGCTTTGATTCAGACACTTTAAACATACATTTAAGTTCCTCATTCGTTGATTTCCTTAAAAAATTATCCAAAAATGAAGATTGAAGTTGCCCATAAGATGATACAAAAGATTTTGTGCCTCCTTCCTAAAATGACACACAAAAGTTTTCAATTTCTTGTTACAAATTTTCAGTAAATAATTCAATTTATTTAAGTACTTTATTTGTTATCCTAATGAATTGCTGTTCATGTAAATATAATTAAATAAATGAAAACTTTTACTTTAATTTAAAATCATGAATTTTATGCTCAACAATGAAGCATTCTCCTTTAAGTCTGTTCTAACAAATTGTATAAGGACGATGAACATGTCATTTACAGAAATATGTTCTAATTTAGAGATAACAATCTTGTATCTTTAAATTATTTAAATCTACTTCATTTGGGGCTATTCTTTCAGAAAAAGCGAGGGTCTTAGATTTTGTGACAGTTCATTTAGAGACCCCTCAACCCCGTCTAAAAATTTCAAAACCCCACCACCTTAAACAATTTCTGGCTACGTCCTTGAGCTTAGAGAAACGTCGTAGTTCGACACAAGGAGAATTTAGAGTTCACTTACGGACTAAAGAAAGTTCTTAAAATCGCAAACTTTTTGAAAAATTTTATAATATTCTAAAACAAACCCCTAAAGTCCAATTTAAAATAAAAAAGATTTAAACTAAAACTTTACTAAACGATTTCGGCACATAAAGTTAAAAGTAATAACTACATCTAGCATAAGTTTTTAATCATATTTAACATGTTCTCGGAATGTAAATCAAACTTTCTGAAAGTCACGAACGATTGAACATAAAACAAAGTTGATTTGAAGATTTTACAGCTTACTTCCTTTCATGAGGAATACTAAACAAGGGTTCATAAATTTCCGCTAGATTTTGAAAACTCTCTTAATAATTTTTTGGGGGTTGTTCATCGATGTTGTATTCTTTTACAAGATAGACTTCTTGTGATTTAATAATTGTGGACCTTAGAAAAGTCTTTTTCAGAACCGAAGACTCAGATCTTATCATTAAAACATAGTAATTTTGGAACTATTCTTAATTTTTTTCAAATGGCTGGTAACGTTAATATCAATTAATTTAAAAAATTGGAATAGTGTGTAAGATCCTTGACTTTGTTTTTGATGGGACCTTTAGGGTATTATCAATTCTTTTTGGATGAAAAAGTGCAATAATATCAAGCGTCAACTTTCTGATAAAAGAGGGGAGGGTGGACCCCTAAAACCCCCCTGGCTATCTCTACATATGTCGAGCCGTATGTAGAAAAATCTGCCAGTGCAGATAAGGCCTCTTTAGTTGAGTGGTATAACAACAGATCAGATCTCTGTAACCCATATTTGCGAGGACGTAAGTTCGATTCCCTTTAAAAAGCTTCTTTCAATTTATTGTTTTTGAGTGTTTTTGGTATGACAAGGATTTTCTTTAGGCTGGAACTTAAGACTTATATACCAAATTATACCTTGGTGTTAACCAAAAAAATAATCAACCTTCTTCAAGCTTCAAATCCCTTTCTTTTATTGTTATCATTAGCTTACAAACCCCTTTTCAATTCGTCAAATTTCAAAAATGTAATAAAAGATTTTAGATTGAAAATTAATTCAGCTCAATTTATAAATTTAAAGAGTTTTTTCTCTTCTTCTGTGCTTACATTGTGATAAATCATCTGGGAGATTATTGTCTTAAGTTGATGCTTACACAAGAAAAAAATTCCCATGATAAATACAACTTTACAATAATTAATTAGTTTCTGCTTTATTAAGAAACACAATTTAATGAAGAAGATGTAATTAAATTATCGTTTTATTAAAAAAAATTAGTAAGGATCTCCTTCCTCATCCACCTACAATATTGATCCTTGTATTATGTTTAACAAACAGTCTCAATTTACGTAAGCCTTAACCAATAGAAGATTATCGGAGGAACAATAAAATATTCTTTTTTATCTCAATACACAGTCAATAAAAAATAAATAAATCCATCCATGTAGAATGTGAAAATATAACTGAAGATCATATGCGCCATCAAATATATAAATATGACTTTTATGTGCTTTTGTATTAAAAGATATAAAATTTAATTTATTTATTCTAATGCCACCAGCTCATCATGCTCAATTTTTTATTTTTTTCTTTTTCCTTTTTTTTGCAGCATAAAGAGTTGAATGTGATTTTTCTTTCTTGCAAGGCGCAGGCACTTAAGATGATTTTTTTTTTGAAAGGGGGATTTATGGGAATTTTTCAAATTAGATTGCTTTTAAGTTGATTAGAGTATTTTATTAGGGATGATTTAGATTTATGGATGGGAATTTTTTAAGGGATTTAAAGAATTTTTGAATATTTTGGAATTTAAACTTTGTTGAGATTCTAAGTCAGTGAGTCAGCTGCGAAAAAATTTATTTCTAAAATTTGACCAATATTTTCATGTTTTATGAATTTTATGAAATCATTAAGTTTTCCACAAAAATTTTAATTTAAAAAAATGTGACGTCGAACAAAAAAGTTTGAGAAACACTGCTCTAAGTGCAAGAGAAATTATTTTATTTATTTTAAATTTTTAAAATTTAAGAATTCCAAAAAATTCATTTTTTTGAATTTAAAATTAAAGTTTATTTTTTTTAAATTTTGAATACAACAATTGTAAAATTTTTCATTTCGAAAATTAAATTTCGTAAATTTTTTTGAAGTTCAAACCATTCTTAAAAAATTTGAATTTTCAAATTTCTGTTTTGAAACTTTTTTAAAATTTTATAAATTTATTTTTTTTTCAATTCTTTAATTTTTTTTTCAATTTGTTTTAAATGAGAATTTTTGATTTTTAGTTTAATTTGAATTTTCAACTATTTGGAAACAATTTTTAAAACTTTAAGTTAAAGAAAAATTTATTGAAAACAGTTTCAAAAGTTTGAAGAAATTTTAATTAAAAAGTTTTTAAAATACATAATTTTTTTAAATCAAAAGAAAATTTCAAAAAAATAGCTTAACCTCAAAATTTTTCAAAATTTCATTTCCAGAGTGCTGAACCCTTGGATTTATTTAAAAAAAAAACAGACGATAAAAAAACTAGAAAACGATGGGGATTGTGCCATAAGCTAATAATAAAATATGCTACTTTGTAGGATCTAATCAATAATGTATGAGTGTCGTTGCTGATTTCTCCTCTTTATCTTGTCAAAAAAGAAGAAGAAAAAACCGAAAATTTGAATGTGAAGACAAGAAGAATCAGTTTATGTGTGTCTTTTGTCTTTTGCGTGCAAAAATAAAAGGCGAAAAGATGTGAAATGTAATCGAAGAAGACGAAAAACTCTCATTAATGCAAAGTATCTAAAGAAGAATTATGTGATTTATTTTAATAATGCCTATGTTGAGAGCAAATCCCTGTGAAAAATTTATATAATCATAATAAGAAGTAACAAAAAAAAAAGATTATAGACATTGAGTGTGAGAGGGGATACAAGGTGTACAAAAGGGAAATTATGTGAGAAAAACGGCAGTGTCGTAAAAACAAAACCTCGTAAAGCAACCCCCAATCATAGAGGGCAAAAAAATACTTCTCTCGTGCATGTCGATGAGCCACTGTGAAAAAGAACAGAAAAAAATAAGAAGAGTGCCACTGTGTTCGCCTAACAAACTCATAAAAATGCTAATGCCGATAAAAGAAAAGAAGTAGGAAGACGCTCTCAAAAAAAAGAGAAAAAAAAATTCTCACATTATTGAATTTTTATTTTTGCATCGAGGATGAAAAATGGTGAAAATTTAAACAGCAGAAAAAAAATATCCATAAAATGAATCAAACGAGCATCAATAGTTGAATAATAAATTTTATGTGAAATGATAAAAATGTGCAATATGTGTGAATGAAAAATTGTAAGAATAAGTAGAACCAAAATAAGTGAATCATGTTACTCATCGCATTACTTATTACACTCATGACACCGACAATATCGTCGGGTGGCGATGATTCATCGAGCGATCACTCGCAAATATCATCGAGAATTGTACATACGAAATATGGCGCAGTGTCGGGTACGATTGTACAATTGGAGAATTTAAATCGAAACCTTGGTGCTGTGGAGGTGTTTAAAGGGATTCCGTACGCTTCACCACCTATCGGATCACTGAGATTTATGCCGCCTGTTACTGGCGCATTATGGTCGGGCGTAAAAAAGGCTGACAGGTAATTTCATTTAATTAACTCATTCGTCCATGGAAGTGTGTGTATTTATATATACAGATTCTGTGTATATGTGCACTATAAAAAGCTTTTAACGGATTTTCATTCAAGTGTGGTTTTAAAATCTACTTATGTCCTTTACAGCAACATCAAACCATACTCTCACTTATTTACTTTTTTTTTATCTCTGGGGATGGACATCTTGGCTGATTTGGATTTTTTTTTTTGAGGTTTTGATATGAAGCTTTAAGTAGCAGTTGGGGATACTTGAGGGGGTCCTTAAGAATTAAGATGCGAAATCAGATGATAACGAGGTCTAAATGGGAAGAGATTCATAGAGGTGTAATCTTGGTGTTGATGTCTGAGGAAAGAACCTCCTTTAAAAACGATTTTATATGCCATTTTCATAAATACCAGAGGGGGGGGGGGGGCAAAGTTGATAATAAATCAAATCAAATCCTGTTTTTTGTCAACATCACATCAAAACTACTCTCTCAAATTAAGCTCAAATCCAACAACTCACATCTCTCAACCAAAATCCACTCAATAACCACCCCAAGTTCCATTTAATTTCATTTTACTGCGTGTGATAAAAACACTGTCCAAAGCATTGAATTTATTCATGCTTGCGTATATTTTTTAAGCATTCTGTGTCACTTTTTATTGACTTTATTAAATGTGATGTGACCGAGAGTAGAATCGCCATCATGAAAATTGTGTGTGTGTGTGTGATTCGACGAAAATGATTCCGCACATGCTGCATTAACGAACATCCACTAGGGATTATTATTTCATTTACAGCACAACTCGCTATGATGACAAAAGAAGAAAATTATTTTTTTGTGTATTTGGAAATAGAAGTTCCTTCTTATTTTTTTTTCGTATTTTCCATTTTCCTCATTACAGCAAATTTTTTATTGCAATCGCAATTTGCCCTCCTTCATCATTCGACGAACCGTGTCATGTTCATTAGAGAAATGTGTTTGCTAAATCCACCATCCATAGAGCACTAAAAAAGAGAGAACTTTTCATTTTGCGTTGAAGAGCTTTCGACGTCAACAAATAAATTAGTCGCTCTGTATGATGTGTGTTTGTATGTGTGTGTGTGTGTGTGTTTTCTACACATATGAATCTATAGCAGAATGTGCTGAAAGAAGAAAAAAAAATTATTGTATCTATCCATCATATCAAAATGGATGTACATTTGAGTGAGTACATGCAATATAATATAAAGTTTCTTTTATTCCGGCATGAACGAATAAATTAATTTCAACTCATAAAAAGGACTTGAATGGAACTGACTTTACGTGAATGTCAGATAAAATAAATCTTTTTTGTTATAATATAAATTGACTGCGATAAAATAAAAATATATTCGTGAAGTGCGAATCTATTCACATGTGGAATATTACGCAGAATTCATTATATTCGGCATGTCTGAAAATAAAAATCAATACAAGCTTAGTCTCATCGCCAGACCAGTTTGTTTTGTGAATTGAAAAATCGAAAAAAAAAAATAATTTGCAGCTTGTGGATTGTTTTGGATATATTTGTATTTGCTTTTAAAATTGCACTAAATTGTAGGATGAATTGGAACAGATGCAAAAATTTTAAATTCAAACATTTTGATAAGCTTTTTATTTTGGTTAGTAAAATTGATGCAGATGAAGAGTTTTGGCTGCAATTTTTATTCAATTGGGAGGTGCTTTTGTGCTGAAAGCTTTATTGGAGATTTTTTGGAATGATATTGATGTGGTTGAGTGTAGGAAATATTTGAATGATGATGAATTGCATGCAAATATAGGCAGAACTTTAAAATAACTTTTTTGAACATTTTTTAAAAATTAGAGACTTTTTAAATGCTTTGCCAAAGGTCCTGGGTTCAATCCCAGGCCATTTCTGATTTTTACGCTCTTTTTTCATTTCAGTTCTAATTACAAAGCTCAGTTCGTGTGGTGGGTATAGTATTAATGTCTTTGGCATAGAATATACCTCCTTTGCTAGGATTACAAGGATACACTAGCATCTGGATGACTTCCTTATGGCATCTTTTTGAATCGCAGTGCCTCCAGCTGAAAGGCTGGGCCCTTCACACATTATTATATGCTGGGAAGCTGCGAAGAGCTGAGCTTTTCTAGGCTTTTGAACCTTAAAGAGCACTTTCAGGCTACGCTTTTGACTAAAGCAATCTAAAATGGCAAGTTTTAAAGCAGTGTTGTCTAAAGTTTTTGATCCACGGCACACCTGAGGGGTAAGCCATGACCGAAATCGTAAACAGGATGCAGCTCGTGTTAGTTTCAAATTTCTGCAGCGCACAGTTTGGACGACACTGTTTGAGAGCATTACATCACAAACTGCCTTCCTAGCTATGCCCAAGTCATTTATAAAGTCAATTTTAAATTCACAAACTCGAATCATAAATATTTCCATAGATTCCACATCATCATCAAGAAACAACATAAAAGAATAAAAGCTAAACCTTTCCTTCAAACATATTTTCTCTTCAACCTGTCCCAAGACACACAATTTACTAAATGTCCAACATTCTTACCTCAAATCTTACATCAAAAAGTCACATGAGCATAACTTCCACCACATTCTACCCAAAGGAATTTATGTAGGCTAAAATATATGCACTGCTATTGTTATCACAATGAATGCACATAAGAAACAAAATGAATTTGCTTGTAGATAATGCCAAAAAAGGGGGGAAGTAGGAAGAATAAAAAAGCTTCCAATTTTAAATTAACCTTTGAAAGCGCAACATTTATGTTTTTTACATATTTTATCAAACAAAAAAGCACAATGATGTTCAGTAAAACAGAAAAAAGCAGCGAAAGAGGGAGTGAGTGAAAGGATAAGTCTTGCTCATAATGTACAGTACATGTGTAGTAGGTCGTTGAATAACAATAAATATTATTCTCATTGTGTTGAGTCAGGCAGCAGTAGTCTAATATTTTATTTATCGCATCTCGTTTCCTTCAGAATGCTCCTTCCGCAATCGTTGCTCTTTTTCATGCCACACACTCTCTCTCTTCTTTGCTACCTTTCACTCTCTCGTGAGCTCCGTTCATCTTTAGAAAACATAATTCGACATCTTTTGTTTGGTTCTGGCATATTTTTCTTCCTTTATGTACATTAAATTTCTTTATCGGGCGACAACCAGCGAGAAAAAAAGACTGTTTCATGCCATCGAGTATGAGATGGATTGCAGTATAATCGCGATGACTATGAAATTTATAATACATGAATATGTTGGTGAATGAATAGGCAGACTTAGAAGAGAAGGAAGACAGAAAAAATGTTTTAATTAATGATGACCGACGGGTGGATACTTAGAGTTTCTGTCAATTATAAACTTTCGAAATTCGAAAATGTATTCGAAAATATTTTTCAAAATTCTATAACAGTCATAAAAGCCTAAAGTTGACTTTAAAAACTCGAAAATGATTTCGAACATTAGCATTTGATCTCGAAGTTAGATTCAAAAATTCGAAAATAACTTCAAACATTAATATTTGATCTCCAAAAACCCAAACTAATTTTAAAAATTCGAAACTGATTTCGAACTTTAACTTTCGATTTCGAACTGATCTCGAAAAATTTGAATATAACTTCGAAATATATTTCTAAAATTTGAAAATGACTTGAAACATTAAAATTTGATCTCGAAAAATCGAAACTGACTTCAATAAATCGATATAGACTTCGAAATTTCGAAATTGAGTTCGAAAATTCAAAAATGAACAAATTTAGATAAAACCTCTCAAACTACCCGCATCTCACTGCACACCAATTCACATCATTCCCACAATTAAGATTAAGACATAATGTCGCTCACTTCATGTCCATATGAGAACCATATTCATTAAAGTTTATATCTAGTCTCATTTAATCCACTTCAATTCACTTAAACTTGCAGTGCTGACAATGATGATGATCAAATTTCTCTCAAAAACTTCCATTAGAGCTTCCTTTCGGCTGAAAGTCTTAATGGAAAATATGTTCCTAAAGCACGATGAGATGGAAAAGTGGAAGTGGCCGTAATTGATCCGAAAAAATATATTTTCCGTTAAAACTGAAAGAGAAGAAAGGAAGCAGCTTTGATGGAAATTGATCAACATCATCATGTATCGTATATCAAAATTCATCATCGATTCTGCTGCTTTTCAAAATCTTAGTTGGAGTAGGGAAAGAAAATTTCATCAGAAACTCATCAAAGTTTATCGAACAAGGGTATAGCATCTCCCATGATGTTACCATAGTCTTCGTGTGAAGAAGGCACATACATACATTTTTTGAAATATGATGAATCGATAAAGGATAGAAGTCATCTCATTTCATTTCCTTTCTCATACACAAAAATTGAGCTTTAGATGAGGTTTTTATAGCACAGAGAAAAAAAAAATCCTTTTTCCTCTCCATACATCAAGAGACGATAAATATACATCACATGCTGCAGAGAAAATCGACTTCTTCCCTGATTTTGACTTTGGGATATGATAACGGATTGAATAAAGATGAAGGAATTATATTTCATATTTGAAAATGTATCGATTTATTTGAGAACTGAAGCATGTGTACTATCAGCAGCACCAGCAGTCGATTGAGAAATAGATATATTAATGGAACTCAAATATCAAATTTCCTTAAATTTTTCACTCTGTCGTATTTTTTTATAGCTCAATTACGGATTGATTTCGTTCTTCTTCTTTCTCGTCGTGCAATTATTTCCTCTATTTTTTTTTCGATTTGTTGTCAATCCACAAATCCATTGCAGATATAAATTGCACATATGACATAGATTTGTAAATTGTTAGGATTGGGAAATTGGTTGCATTTTTGGGGGGAAAGGGAATGAATTGATATGTTATTTTTTTCGACAAGATGGGGTTGAATGCAGGCTATGGTGTTGCTTGGTTTGAATTTTTGAGAATCTAGATCGATATATTTGGGTTTTGAGGACATGAGTGTTTTAGGAATGTTCTTAATAGATAGATTTA